AATTGATTCAAGTAATTGTTATTATTGTCATACTTTAATTTATTTCCTAGTGAAGATAAATGTCATGAAGATGAAGAATGTAATACAGTTGTTAATTTAACACAATGTTCATTGTCATCCTCAAATAATTTAAATACTGAATGTTCATTGTTCATCCTCATCATCGTAATTTCGTGAACCACAATCCCGAAAATGACGTAGAACTTATATTGATAAGAACATTGAAAGAAACCGAATTTGTTCTTCTGAAAGAACAGAAGAAATCCATCAGGCGTTAGCTAAAATGATCGCCATGAATCAAATGCCCTTATCCTTTTGTTTTATTTCCAGATTTAAACAATTTATGAGCATAGTTTAACCAAATTATATAATTTGTAAGGGAGGTGATATCAAACACACTCAAAGGATTAAAATTGTCGGTTGAAGATATAATAAAAAAATAATTAAATGTAGCCAGGAGTGTAAGTGGCACATCTGACTGTTGGTCATCAATAGCTAAAGAATCATAACAGTTACTGCACATTTTATTGTAGACCAGTGGTGCCCAAAATCATCATACACCCTGATCACTCACAAATTAGACGATTGTCATACAGCTTCAAATCTTTCAAAAAATAATGTCAGTAGTTACTGATAATGCAAAGAATGTGTTGAATGCAGTTAATTTACTAGATAATATCACAGAAAAGAATGATCTAGCATGTGCCGCACATAGTTTACAACTGGCTGTCAACAATGCCCTAAAATATGATCAAATATAAAATTTAATTCAAGTATGTAGTAAAATTGTTTGTCATTTTAAGCATTCAAATTTAGCTATTCAATATTTAAAATATAAGCAAGAACAACTAGGTTTTCCAACAGAAAGCTTGATTCAAAGCTGTAAAACTAGATTGAATTCTATATTTATGATGCTTGATCGACTTTTTAAAAGTAGGTGCCAAATATCAAATGTTCTTGCTAATCGTTCAATGGTTAGGCCTCTTCTAAACGCAGTTATACAAAAACATTTAAAGCATAATATAAGAGATGATGAAATATCTGAACCACTGTAATATGGGAACTTTCAGATCGTTTTAAATTACTTTGGTGTCATTCTAGGCAAATAGCGTCTTTTCTCGACCCAAGGTTCTTAGAACATTAAACGGTTAAAGCAAGAGAGGAAATTCGGACACGGGCTAAAAATTTGATAAACGAAATGGCTGAAATTAATTGCGATGTGCAAATTGAATCACCTGTAACTAAACATCACGGTGCTCTTGAATTTCTGTTTGGCGATGAAGTAAACTGTAATACATCTGATTCTAACATTCAGTATCAACATTACTTGGCAGAACCACAGTTAAAATTTGATTTATTTTGATGCACTAGAATGGTGGAAGACACTTGCATCAGAATATCAACTAATTGTTGCTTTGGCAAGGAAATATTTAGGGATACCAACAACATCAGTAAGTTCTGAAAGATGTTTCTCAACCTCTTGAAACATAGTGACGGCCAAGAGAAGTTGTTTGGCGCCCAAGACGGTAAACATGCTGATTTTTCTTTACCAAAACAAACAATTATTATAGCTTCCTAGATATTGAGTGATTGCTTTGTTATTTTTTGCACTATATTATGCGTTACTATATAGTACACACTGCTTATTATTTAATCTTATATTATTATTATTATTTTGTATTTATTTTATACTATATTATTATTGTTATTACCATTAATATTATGTCTATAATATTAATATTTATTTATTCAACAACAACAACATAATATAAAATATATAATTAACATTTGACATTTTAAGTTGATACCTACTCTCTATAAGCATGGCTTGTGGTGAGAGTAGGGAGTCTTAAAAATTAATTACAGTAATTACTAAAAAATATAACAAATAGGTTCAGTACAAATATAATAAATACAGATATTAAATAAGATTTTCAAAGGACTGCGTATACATATTTTTTAACATTTTTTTAAATTTAACATCATTATCAATCAATTTGAGATTTGTTGGTAGTCGATTAAATAGGTTTATCCCTCTGTTTATATAATAATTACTCATCAATGATGTGTTATGTTTAATTAAATTTAAGTTTCCATTGATCATTCCTCTTGTTTTATACATATTCAGGGATTCATAAACTGATTTATTCATGTATATTTTTAAAATTGATGTTTTATTGTATAACTGTTCCAATGATAATATTTTTAATTTTTGGAATATAGTATTTGTGTTAATTTCGGAATTATAAGTATTTTTCATTATTACTCTGACGAGAGTTCTATGCGTTACATTAAGTGGTTCAAGTACATTTTTATAGGCGGAGCCCCATACTATTATGCCATACATTAAGACAGACTGAACTAATGCAAAATAAACCATTTTTAGACTTGGAATGTCTAATATACTACGTAGTTCTTTGAATATATAATAGCATTTCCTTAAGCGTAATATTAGCATATCAATATGAGGTTTCCATTTTAATTTTTCATCAAATATTACACCTAAATATTTGTACGAACTTACTCTAGCTATACGGTAACAATTATTACATTCATTAATTATATTTATGTTTTTACATTTATTATTATGAAAATGGATTATAATTCGATCAGGTAAATTCAGACTGGATAGCGCGAATGGGATAAAAACTGATTTTTTTTTATTTAGCATTAAACTGTTATTAGTATACCATTTACTAACCACTGTTAGACCTTTATTAGCACTTTTTTCCACCTCAGTCCAAGTATCAGCTTCAAAAAACAATGCAGTATCATCTGCAAAAGCTAATATTTTACCTCCTATATCTAAATTTAATAAGTCATTCACATATATTGAAAATAAAATAGGGCCTAGCACTGTACCTTGAGGGATGCCAAATTTAGCAGTACAGGAATCACTTAGAATACCATTAATTTCGGTTGTTTGTGGTCTGTTAAGAAGGTAAGATTTGAACCAATACCAGAAATTATTATTTCCAATTATTATTTTTAGTTTACGTAACAGTAAATCATGCGAAATAGAGTCAAATGCTTTAGCTATATCCAAATATATACATAAACATTTTTTACCTCTATCTAAAGACTCATAAATTAAATTGGATAAGGACGCAATTGCATTTTGACAACCCACATTATCTCTAAAACCGTATTGATTGTCACTTAAAGCATTTTTGTCTGTAATAAACCTGTGCAACTGAAGTTTCGCACATTTTTCTATGACTTTTGCTATTGCAGATACCAAAGAGATTGGCCGGTAATTTTGTAGTTCTCTCACATCACCAGTTTTGTAAATTGGGATGATTATCGATTTTTTATATATATGTGGAAATATACCTTTTGAAAAACTTAAGTTAATTAAATAAGTAATCGGACTGATAATGTGGTCTGCTATCTGTAATAATGTATTTGAAGAAATATTATCAAAACCGGGTGATGTCCCTTTTTTTAATAATTTAATAATCAATAGTATATCTTTCTCCGTAAAATTTAAATAATGTAAATTATCGTTATTAAAGCTATCTCTATTCTCAGTATTATTTATTGTAGAGTTAATTATATTAGGTATTTCGTTATCACTTTGAATTTGTCCTGCAATTTTTTCACCCACAGAGGCAAAATAGTTATTTAATATATTAACACATTTATTTGTGTCCGTATTGACATTGATCAGTTGATTTTCATGAATAATTTGTGAAATGGGTTTGTTACTTTTGACATTTTTGTTGATAACCTCCCCTATTATGTTCCATACCTGTTTAGTAGCACTATTGTTATTATTATTATCACCAGTATTAATATTCAATACTCTATTTCTATAGTAATCATTTTTTGCGTTCCTTATTAATGTACACAATTTGTTCTTATATCTTTTATAATAATTTAAGAAATGAATATCATTTGGCCTATTTTTTATACTTTTACCTAATTTATCCCTTTTCCTAATCGATTTTATTAGACCATCAGTTATCCATGGCTTAATTTTACGTTTATTTGACGAGATATTTTTTTCTTTTTGTGTGCTTGAATTAATTATATAATTATTTAGTAAATTATGAAATTTAAATGCACATATATCGACATCAGATTCATTTAAAATTGTTTCCCACTTTTCGTTAATCAAAAGGGAATTTAACAGTTTTATATTTATATTCATTTTAATGTTTTTGACTTCATGATTATTTTTTATATTTTGATTATCAGCTATTAACAAGGTACTATAATGATCAGTAATATATGATTCTAAGATAATAGGTTCAATATTAGTAATGTCTTCGTTATTTATAAATATATGATCAATAGTAGTATGACTATTATTATAAACTCTAGTATACTCATTTATGCAGCTATAGAATCCCATTTGTGCCATAAAGTTAAGATAATCCGTTTTATATTCATCGTTACTATTTTTAGAAATATTAATATTTATGTCACCTATTATTATAATTTTTTTTGTTTTAATTCTACTTATTATTTCGCCTAAACGATTTTTGAAATTTATAAAATTATTATTATGTCCCCTATATAATGCTATTATTTCGCGAGGTACATTATTACTACATAAACTTAATACTAGACAATTACAATTATCAATAATAATCTCACTGAAATTATTTACAATATGTTTGCTATTTACAAAAGCTACAATGCCACTATTTTGATTAAAATTATTATCGCTAGTTCTATATAAAATGAATCCATCAATTTCAAGATTAATAACACAGTTACTTAACCAGCATTCAGTAAGTATAATACAATCAATGAAATGTATAATATTATTTAACATGACTAATAGCTGGGAAAAGTTTTTATTGATCGATCTAATATTTAAATGAAAGATAGTAAATCCATCTTTATTTACAAAAAGTGATTTTAAGTCAATAATATCCGATATAATATTAGTTTTAATCTCATATAGGTTATCTAACTCGTTTATAATATCATTCATTATATAATTATATTCATTATGTACATAAATAAATAGACAGACATATAAGACCTACCTATATTATTTTATTTAAATCAATTTCATCATATATCCTCGTAACTTTGGTGTTTTCATCTTTACGAACTAAAATATCTGTTGAGTTCATCCATACGTATTTGTAGCCCTTTTCTTTCGCCAATGTCTTCGTTTTCCACAACAATAATCTTCTAAATTTTGTCAGATGATTATTAATATAAATTTTAGATGATGGCCAATCGCCCCGATACTGATTAGCAGCCCATTTATTTTTCTTTGCTTCAGTGACCAACCGGTTTCTATCATTATTATTTGATAACCAAGCAATTATCTTCATATCGGTTTTATGTTTAGTTGTTATTCTATAAGCTTTCAATACATCACAGTTTATTTCCAATTTTTCTGATATTTCTTGAACTATAGACTTACAATCTTCGTTTCGCATTATAGGTATACCAGTAATTTCAACTGCATTTTCCAATGACTTCTGGTCCAACTCGTCAATTTTCGCTTTTAATTGTTGAACCTCAGTTGAAAGTTTTTCATTTTTTTCAAATAATTTCTGGTTTTGATCTCTAAGTTCTTTCATCTCATTAAGTATTTTCCCCACTGTTAAATTGAACTGGTCAAATTTATCACTCATATATTTAACTGAATCCGTTAATTGCTTTATTTCATCATTTTTATCGCTATTGCTCTGATTACCCTTTTTGTTATTCCATTCAGTTTTACAATCACTACAGACCCATTTGCTTTTCGTATTTTTTGACATTTTACCAAAACTATTATCATTCATACCTTGACAATAGTGATGAAAACATGTTTTGCATTCCATGCAAAATAATCCGTCTTCCTTGATTAGTTCATCTCGACACTTTCCGCAATTCATTTTTATTTCGGTACTATAATTATGGAGCAATTTTAGTTATACAACTATATAGTATTAATAAAATCAGTAACTAGATAAGCGAATAAAACACAAACAGTAATAAACGGTATACAATTATTAGATAAGCGAGCGACAACACAAAATACGTGTGTTCGCAACGACCGAATAATTGAGACTGAAAATTAACCTAACCATTATCGTGTGAATTAATTAATTCACTGATATATATATATATATATATTATATACCTATACATGTTTATTGTTATTTTGTTATTAATAATATTAGGCCATACAACTTTTTTTGGGAAAAAACGATATTTAAAATATTTAAATATTATAATGTACGAAAATGCAAGTAAATAAATAAATTCTGTATTATTTGTTATACCTACTTTTCATTATCAATTACTCGAACATAACAAAAATTACACACACAAATGTGATAACGACATATACTAGGGGGTAGCGAACACAATATAATATGATATAATAATATAATATAATACAATATATTATAAATATATAATAATATTATTGAGTTCAGAGAGTTAAGAAATCGTTAAGTCAGAACTGCAAAGTAGTGAAATACAATTGTATTTAAGTTGTAATTATTTGAGTATCTTAGCTAACGGGTATTAAAAACACGGGTATACACGGGCATTTTTCTTACACCTGCTTTAACCCCGTTTTGTGTAAAAACACGGGTATCCATGTAGTTCATTACACGTGTAATCGAGACCTCTAGACCAAATGCATTCTTTAATCTGGGTGTTGGCTCCTGTTAGCAGGTGATAACATTTTTAGAATGATTTACAGTCAAGTGATTATAGCCTTTATTTTGTAAAACTTTCTAGGGTTTCATTTCATCTGACATGATTGTTGTTCCTAGAAGTATTTTTTTTTAATTATTAGAATAAGTGTAGCTCTATCTCGATGTTCAACAATAAAAAAACGTTTCAAAACCTCCAGATCCTTCTACTCATTTTCCATAGTACCTATTCCCGTTATTCGTCTGTTCAATTTGCACCCCAGTAGAGAATCCTACCTCTTTTATATTTCCTTAAAAGGACTTCACGCCCGCATGTATGACAATATTTTGGAGGGCAATACGGTGAGTTATAAAAAGAAAAATTGTATTTTGAAAAGATATGTTAAAAATATTGAAATTTTTGATATCTCTAAACGATATAATGAACGTTATATTGGGTACAATGGAAAAAACGTAACTACTTGCACTCGGAAAAACTGTCACAATTCAATTTTATTATATGTATTTTTACTCTAGAACCACAATTGAGCGACTTATACTCATTACTCAGACTGCGTAAACGCGTTTCGTCTATATCGTACGTGTGTAAGACGGAGACAACACATGCGGTGTGACTTCCTCTTAAATAATATATATTAATAAATAATATAATAAATTAATAAATATAGGTATTAATCATAATATATTAATTATAATAATTATAATTATAGATCACTATCTACACCTAGTATAATATGATAAATCACCTGCAACATGAATGCCAATAAATCTAAATGATTTACCTATATTTATTTTATAAATATTCGAATTATTAGATAATATATTTTGATTATTATAATTATTATAAATTGCAAGTTTTATTGTTATTCTAGTTGAATAATTACCGGTTATATCACATTTTAATATATATGGAGTAATTTTATTTGTTATAATTTTTAATATCATTTCAATGTTATTAACGAATATGTGGTCAATATAAGTTTGAGAATGGTGACTCTGGTGTTATTATTAATAGATAATCATTACTTATTTTCGAGTGTTTCATAATATCGATATTAATGTCTCCACAGAAAATATTTACGTTTTTACCACTCAAACCAGATAAGATTAATTCTAAATAATTTATAAAAATATCTTTATTATCATTGGGAGATCTATAAATACAAAATAGAAAGAATAAATCATTATTTATCTTAAGAGGCCGTCCTAGTAAAAGTGAAACGAATGCAACGCTCAAGAGATAGCGTTGTGCGCCGTATCGCCGCCGTCGCGGTAGGCCGTAACCACGCCCATCGTGTACGCGACGAGGCCCGTTTGTTGTAATCGCGGGAGAGGTACATTATTATTTCACGGACAGTCGTACAGGACGTTTCGCGTCATTACAGACCGTTGCGTAAATTGTCGCCTATGAATTCTACATGGTGCGCTGCCTCCTAGCTCATAAGTCGCAAACCTACTTTTTAATTAAAGCTCCTGTTTGCATAAAAATATTAACCAATGAATTAAGCATAACAATTATTATATTCCATAACTCGATTTATATTTCTAACCCAATTATCTACTTTTTAAAATATAAGTAAAATAATAATTTCATTAGAATTAAATAGATTTTTTAGTAAAAGTGTAACGTATTTTACGTTGTAACTTATAAGTGACATGAAGCAATTTTTGTAATATGTTTTATAGTTTTAATACAATCCATTAAACAATGACCCACTTGTAACCTACTGTGCAGCAGAGCGACACCCACTTGCCCACCTTTTTTTACTTGTACAGTTATGCTAATTTTAGATTCTGAGCGGAGCGATGAATGTATTGGTTTTACAATGATGTGTGTTTTTTTTTATATTTTTATATTTTTTTATTTTTGTGTCTGTCATCACGTTTTGGGACAGTAAAAGTGCTTCGATTTTCTTCAATAGTACCTTTTCTGATAGGAAAGTGAATCTAGTTGGTACTTTGGGGGGTCAAAAGTAAACATTTTCCAGTAGTTTTCACAAGCGCCGGGAAAAACAACATAAAAATTAAGGAAAAACGGGAATTTTTACGCAAAATCGATTTTCCAAAAATTTTTCTTTTTAAATCTAAGATTTGAAAATGTAATATAAGATTACTCATAAGTTTGTCTACCTTTATCAATAAAAAAATCTCTACCGGAATGTCAATTAAAATTTTTATGAGCGTTTGAAATTCAAATTTTTACAACATTGGATGTTCACTCGATTTCTCACGTAGCGATTTCCTTATTTTGTTGTAATTCAAAAACGAATAAATGTAGATACATGAAAATTTCACTGAATGTTTATATTAGCATTTCCTATACACCATACAATTTTGAAAATATTTTGACTTTTTGAGCTGTTTATGGACATTTACAGCTTTCAATTTTTTTTAGTTTTTTTTTCTATAAATATCAATAAAGTTTTATCTGTTAGGCCAAAAAGTGTAAAAATTTAATACAAGGCTACTGATATATTGTTACAATATCAGTTGAAAAATACATTGGCACGATTTTTTTTTATAAGCATTTAAAGTTGGAATTTTGACAAAATTTATCAAAATCTCGAAAATTATCAATCGTTGGAATTAAAAAATTATAAAATGTTCAGTTTTTATAACTAAGAGTTGAAAATTTAAAACAAAGATTCTCTTAAATAATTCATACTGTAACCAAAAAATTTAAGCAATATATGAACACAGTTATTTTTTACAGACATTTTAAATTCAAATTTGGACGAAATTACATATTAAAATCAATATTAACGATCTTGGTTTTTTGTTGTAATTTAAAAATATTATTCGGGGATATATGAAACTGAAAAATCAACACATTATGGCCTATCCATACAATCTACCATAGTATAAGGAATAAGAAGTATGCTCAATGATAAGACTGTGCATATTTTAAGGGGCAATGAATAATTTATTCATAAATTCCATATAATTTAATACCATAAATAAGTATATAATATGTCTTATACCTAGACTGACATACCGCCTCCGCTCAGAATCGTTTTTCTTATACAATGATATTATATCATTGAATTCAAATTTAATACCATCCATCATACAGTGACCCACTTGTAACCTACAGTACAGCAGAGCGACATCCACTTACCCACCTTTTTTTATTTATTTTTATTTTTTATATGAAATATACAATCTGTACCCTGAGGCACAATAAGAATATGGGCTAAATTACAATGACATGAGTGAAGTGTTTTGCTTCTTCTTGGACGGTTTTTATTAGGTACGTTAATTTAAATTTAAAAAAAATCTTGAATATCAAATCGCTAATTTGATAGAAGAATTGTCTATAATTGAAAAAAAAAAATTGTTTAAATCGTACGCTTTCCAGCTATTTTGTGACGATTTTATGATATAATATTATGTAGTTCCATTTTGCGTAAACTTCGCTAGTAATAAGGATTCGAATTATAACATCGAAAAATAAAATAATATTATTCATTGACAGAATTATTATTTTCGTATCGACGTATTTGGCTATTTATAATCCGTGCGTGGCTGCGATAAATAACCAGTTTTGACCTATGGTGCGGTACAGCTGCATATGTACGCGGGGTAGTGGTAGAAGTACTATTTCAGAATGCTGCCGCTGTAGTCGTTCTAGCAGCACATGACGACGGCAAATTCGTATTTTTTTTGCCCAAAACATGGTTTTGTACTTCCAATACTTCTCAGGCCTCGTTGATCGTAGAAACATGATTTTGGTATCAAAATAATCACGAGAAGTTGTACTAAATATTCTTGGAACAGATTTTCGATATCTAATTTTGTCGATTTTATATAATTTTTTAAAAAAATGAAAATATAGTACAAACTTCAGATACAAATAAAATTGGTTAGAAAAAAAATTTTAAAATTCTGTTCCAAGAATATTTAGTACAACTTCTCGTGATTATTTTGATACCAAAATCATGTTTCTACGATCAACGAGGCCTGAGAACTATTGGAAGTACGAAAGCATGTTTTTCGGTCGATTTTTTTCTACTGTGACGGCCTCTTAAGAGGACGTGATACCTGCATGTGTTACTCATACAACTACCATATAACTATAGGTTAGTTATGAGTATTTTAAAATATACAGACAATTTACAATTTTTAAATACTCATAAGTAGTCATAACTCACTTTAAAATTAAAATGCCTAGATAATAATCTTACCTTTAGATTTACCATTTGGTACAAGCACGGATGTGGCAGTTTCTCGTGTAGTTCGCCGTTTCAGTTCTGTTGCTTTCCAGTAGTATCTGCTTTGAATCGCCCAATAAATTTCCTTCCATCCTGGATGGTTTACCAACGGGTGATTGTGGTATTTCCGTAGTACGTGGTTCGCTGTTGACCTGGGTATTACCACTGGGGTTTCCACCTTTGTTTTTTCTTGCATAGGATGCCATTATCCATTTGGTATATTTGGATTTTCCCCCTAGTGTTTGTGTTTTGGTTATGTGATTGTAACCCTGCGATGATCTGTTTTATTTGCTGATCGGTTTGTTACCATTCCTTGATTTGCTCTAGAGTAATGTGGGTTTCCCTTCTAGATCCCTCCGATTATACATTGCATGTTTCGTGGGATTTCCCGTCCTGTCAGGGGCTCGATTAGGTAGTCTTCCAACATTTCCTCGTCGACTGTTTGCCACTCTGAGGGATACCTTGATAACGCTTCTGCAGCTTCATTTTCTGTCCCTGTTGTGTGTATTACTGTGTAGTTGTAGGGTTCTAATTGCATTGCCCGGTGTAGTAGTTTCTTATTGTTGTGTTTTGCTGTTTCCAGCCACTTCAGTGCTACATTGTCCGTTAGGAGTTCAAAGTGCCCTGATTGGTCCATGTATAGTCTGTACTTGTCTACAGCCCATATTATCGCAAGGCATTCCATCTCTACTGCTAGGTTGTTGGATTGTGCCGGGTTCAATTTTTGACTTGCATGGCTGATTATTTTTCTGTTTATTTGCAATTCTCCCCTTTGAAATAGTACGGCCCCCACTCCGATTTCGCTTGCGTCTGTTTGTAAACAGAAATGCTTCGTGTAGTCTGGTGGGGATAACCTCAGTGCTGTGGTTACTGCTTCCTTGAGTTTACCAAAGGTATCTTCCTCTATTGTGGTCCATTTCTATCTGTTACCTTTGGCGAGCAGATTCATTAGGGGTGTTGCGATTTCTGAATATCTTTTTAAGAATTGGTTGTACCATCCGCAGATTCCTAGGAAGAGTTGTATGTCCTTTACTTTTTTGGACATTGGGAATTTTGCTATGAATTCCAACTTGTCGATTTCTTTATTTGTCCCTTCCACGTCTACTACGTGTCTTATAAAGTGGATTTTTGTTAATCCTAATTTGCATTTTTTCGGTTGACACGCTAGTCTATAGGTCTCTGAACTCTTTTATTCAAGGGCCACAAAAAATATCAAATGCTCTTAGAGGGCCAAACGTTAACACATATAATTTTTAATTTTATGAAAATATAGTTATACAAATATAAGCTTACTTTAAATCTTTTTATAAAATATTGTCTACTATATACTTAAATGTAATTGGTATAAATTTAAATGATAATAATATATACATTGAAATTTTAATAATTTTTTAAATAATTTTTTTTTTAATGAGAAGTCTGAAATTGATGGTTTTCTGCTAATATTCGATCGAATTGAGGTTGTATGTTGCTAGTTCCAATTTTCAAAATTGACTCCAAGTGTTTGTCAGTCATGGCCGATCTATATTTTGATTTGATGTATTTCATTTTAGAAAAAGTTTGTTCCCACAAATAAGTAGTAGCAAATACAGATATATATTCAATTGCAATTTTTTTTAAATTTGTATACTGTATATCTGGGAGAAATTTATAAAAATCAATTAAAGTCTCTTCACGATGTTTGATTTTCAGTGCATCATTACTTTTTAAATCAATCATTTCCATTTGAAGGGTAGGAGGTAACTTCTCAATATCACAACTAAACGGGTTTTGAAAAATATTTATTTCCTCCGATTTTACGTCAAGGTCCGAAAAACGTTGTTTAAATTGGATTTTAAGTTCAGAAATTATTTTTTGAGCGAAGTCGATTGGAAATTGTGTTTTTGATTCTTTGTTATATTTATCACAAGTAGAAAAATGAATAAAACAATTTTTTGAAATTTGCGTTTTAAATAAAATAAGTTTTTGCCTAAATGCTTTTACTAATGTGTAAACATCGCAAATAAGAACATCTTTACCTTGTAATTTTAGGTTGAAGTCGTTCATATATTTTGTGATATCCACTAAAAAAGCTAATTTCCAAACCCATACACTATCTGTAAGTAAATGTTAGGTAATGGTCGATTCTTATCAAATAGAAATATTTCAATTTCATTTCTTAGTTCAAAAAATCGCGATAGGACTTTTTCGCGACTAAGCCATCGAACTGCTGTAAAATACGGTATATCTGGGTACTCCGTTTCTTTCAAAAAATCTTGAAACTGACGATGCCTAAGTGCGCTCGAGCGAATAAAATTTACTGTTGATATTATTGGATCCATAACACTAGACAAGTCTAAAGTTTATCCGCATAATGCTTGCTGATGTATAATACAATGCAAAGTCATTGGTTTAAAATCTTCTTTTTCACAGCTCGTAAATATCTGTCCAATTAAACCTTTTTTTGTGCCACACATATTTCTTCCGCCATCATAAGTGATACATTTTAAATTTTTCCACTTCAAATGATATTCTAAAAATGATTTTTCGATAACTTTAAATATGTCAATACCTGTCGTAGTTCCATGCATGCTATGTACAGAAAGTAGTTCATTGGAAATGTCTAAATCTTTATTAACACCTCGAATAAATAAAAGTAACTGTGACGTATCAGATACATCTGTTGATTCGTCAAGTGCTATACTCTTTTTCACGAGAGAAAGGTAGCGGCGGCCGACCAAAACGGGTCCGCCGCCGCGCATCCCCCACCAACTATCAGTGGTAAGCGTGATCACGTGGTCGTTCACGCACCAATCGAATCATTTTACATGCGCGAAACGGTACCGTTCTCTCGTGAAATAGAGTATATACTATACGAAATTAATTCTTGAGTCTTATTACTAACCTGAGAATTTAAATTATTACTAATATCGTTAATTCTACGGGTAACTGTGTTAGTAGAAAGGCTAATATTTTTAAAAGTATCAATTCTTTCTGGATAAATTTCTTCAACTGCTTGAATTATACATTCTTTTATTAAACTACCATCAAAAAACGCTTTTCCTCTTTTTGCCAATAGATGTGAAATACGAAAACTAGCCTCTGTAGCAGCTTCATTAATATTTTTTTGTTTTTTAAATAATAATTGTTGTGACGAAAAATTGTTTTGAAGTGACTGCAATTTATTTAACCGTAATTTCTCAGTAAATTTTGAAAAAGTTGTCTTATGTTTTGTTTCATAATGCCTTCGAATATTGTACTCCTTAAGTACAGAAATACTTTCTTTGCATATTAAGCATATTATTTTGTCACCTGAATAAATTACGAAATAATCCAACGACCACTTTACATTGAAAACACGACATTCTGAATCTATTTTCCTTTTTAATCCTCTTCCTGACATGTCGAATTGGTGAATTAATAGGTAAAGAATAATATTTATAATAAAGGCACTGCAAACTTAGATATGTAACTGTACAAACGTTATGAAATGATTTCGTCGTACCGCTCGTCTATGTGACTAATCTCTCCGTTATCGACGTTAAAACTAAAAATATAAAAGGAAATTGCAATGTCTGTCGTCATAAATTATGATACGTGCCCGCGATAACGACTTTAAATTACACACATATTTAGATATCTATATTTTATTTACCGTCCTATGGGTGCTGCGGGCCGTTTGAAACTTGTTTGCGGGCCGTATCCGGCCCGCGAGCCGTAGTTTGGAGACCCCTGCGCTAGTCCATAGCGTGGTAGTCGCTCCAGTAATTTTTGTAGGTGTCTCAGGTGTTCTTCCATAGTTTTGGAGATTATCGCGGGTACTCCCTTTAGGCCGACTGGCATTACTTAGAACTGGTATAGCCCCCTTAGGTGTACGAAACGCTGTTAGTGGCTGGGCTTTGGGTGTTAAGCTTACTTGCCAGTAGCCCGATTTTAAATTTAAAGTGATTTAAGACCTTTAAATAATTCAGACCTGACTCTGAATACCCACATAAGTTGTCGTTTTCGTGTACGCTGAATTTTTCCAGTGTTTCATACGAGCTGTTCATATCGACATAGTGTCTGTTTTCTGTCCGACTTTTGACGTCTTCTTTTGTTGTAACCGAAAATAGTAATTGTTCTACGGCTATACGGTTTTCGGGGGTGGTTATGTGGAAGTCCGTTCCCTCGTTAACTGTCTTTGTTTTGTTGTTTTGATTTTTGATTTTTATTTTCTTTCCAGTGGTTTTCCCCTACTCCGTCGACCGTTTTCCCGTTTCCCGTCTTCTTGGTGTTCCAAAATTCGGATGATTTATCAGGAGTCTGCGGTTTTTCCGGTTCGGGATTTTCCCACTGGGTTTTCCCTCTCCTCTGAAATTGGTTTCCCACAGTATAATATGTTGCTTCGTTAAGCTCCATGAATGTTTTCGGTTTTTTGCATCCGTATTATAATTTGATGTTCTGATCGCATCAGTTCGATGTTTGTCTCAACTGCATTTTCTTCGTCCGTTCCCGTGTTCAGTCTAAGGAATCATAGTATTTTTTGTAACACAAAGTCCCCCGTTGGTTGTCCGGTTAGTTGCTTCCACCCCATCAGTTCTATGTGGAGCTTTGCTCTAATTTGACATTCGTTAAAATTATTCGTAAATTCTTTGTAGAATTCTTCCCACGTGGAGTTGATTTCTCTTATCCTATCCCGAAAAACTATGATTTTGTGACTTAAACACTTTCTCCCAAACACTGTCCAGATCGATAAAAACAATAAATAACTGTTATGTACCATTCCTTTTATATTTGGTAACAGGTTTATTATTTAAATATAAAAAAGTTCTTACAAAGGAATATAAATATAATAATATATTACCAGTTATTTATATGTAAAAATATAAAAATGAATATTAAAAAACTAAATCGTAAGACATTAAAAGTTACAATATTAGAAAAATATAAAAGTAAAAACAAATTTGCTATTAAAACATCATTCTCACCACGTTATCAAATACAATAATCTATATTACGATCACGGACTAAGAATAACAGAATTACGAACATTACCAATTTGATTACAAATAAGTAGATATTTGAATGATTTTTAATTTTCATCATTCTTAAATCAAATTATTTTTTTTCCTAAAAAAAATCACAACTCGTAAAATTTACAAAATATATGGTTTTTTATGAACAATAATATAATATAATATTCTAAAATATGAAAAATAGGCTAAATATTCTCTAAAACTAAAATATATTTTTTCTTACTAACTCTGTGATGGATTAATGATCCACTTTTTTCATCCTTGTAAAGTTGCATAAAGCCAATAAAAATATGTCAAAAACTAAAGATCTTCTCTTAACTCAAAATCATCGTTATAATATATCTTCCTATATTATTTATGTATCTATAAGGTTGATTATTGAAAGTGTTTACTTTATTAATTTTTCTACATTATATCACATATTTTAATATTAAAAACAGTTTCATTTTTCCAAAAGTCCAGTACCCATTAAGATTTTGAATAATTATTTATATATTTTTTAATTAAATATCTACTTCTGTTATGGCTTCTACAAGCCATTTAGGTCCATTGCCGCAACAACCATTTGCCATCATCCATCTCTATCTTGAGCTAGTTCTTTTCCGTCGTTTACTCCAATCTCAATGCATTTTTTGTAATCCTGTCTTTGTTATATATCGCATTTGCGAAATTGGGTGTCAAAATGCGAAAAGATTGGGAAATACGGGCACCTAAAGATAAAATACCATCTATATGTGAGTTAATCAAGTTTATTGAAGAGTGGTTCCGAATATTAGAATCAGTCGAATCTTCGGGAAATATAAACATTAAAGTGGTATCGGCTGTAGTTGGCAAAGGAAATGCATAATCAAAGGCAAATTATAACATGAAAGGCGGTCAAAAGCACTCAACAAATGTTGTGCCAACAACAACATTAAAGTGTTTTATATGCAGTTTGGAGCATACCATATGACATATACAAATGTCTGAAATTTATCGCTCTATCGATAAGCGAACGCATCAATAAAATCACGAGTTTAAAATTATGTAAAATATGTTTACGCAAACACGAAGGAAAATGTTTTTTCGCGATTTTGTTTTAAATTTTCCAAACCCCATAACACATTATTACATCTTAGCTTAAAAAAAAGTTCGGTTACGGAAGGTAGTGAAAATAACTCCGAAACGGTTAAAAATAGACATGAGCCGGTCACAGAGGCGGCGTGTTCAACGATCGCTCACGCAAAAGGTAATTACGAGCGTGTATTATTAGCCACAGCCGTCGTGCAGGTTATCAGCCCTTCAGGAAGGTTCTCTTTTGCGCTCGTGTTGTTGGATTCTGGTTCAATGAATAATTTTACATCAACAGAACTCGTAAATAGTTTGAGCTTAAAACAAAAGAGAACGGATCATATGGTAAGCGGCATCGGAGAAATAACTCAAAATATCACGTCCACGGCTTGGTTAAAAATAAAATCCTGTGTGAACGATTATGAATTGAACATACAGGAGTTAGTTGTAAATCAAATTACGGGAAACTTACCGACGAAATTTTTTTCTGAAAACAGTCCTCGACCCGTAAATATTGTACTGGCTGATCCATTGTTTAATGTGCCACAAAAAATTGATAAATTAATCGGTGCAGTTCATTTTTTCGAGATTATGGGTAAGCAATAATATCGACCGATAAATAAGCCGATCTATCAAGAAACAAAATTCGGATTTGTTGGGTCAGAATCGGTACAAGGTTCGGCGTATTAAAAAAAATCTGTTACACATATATCCACGAATACAGAAAATTACGAATACCATAATATGGAAAAGTTAATTAAACAATTTTGGCAATCGGAAAAATACTTAGGATCAACGTCGTATACCATAGAAGAGAAGGCGTGCACTGAACATTTCAATAACACCGTACGTCGTGAAGAAGGAGGTAGTTTTGTAGTACAATTGCCATTTCGGGAAAAAAGGTTACAGTTAGGGGAATCGTATGCGATAGCGAAGAATAGGCTTCTAGCCATCGAGCGTCGATTTGGAAAAAATCCAACGTTAAAAATTGAATATGTTAAATTCATGCGTGAGTATAAAATCTAAATCATGACTTGCATTATCTGCGAGGAGGTCGATGTGCCTGGAGAAATGTGATACCTCATCAACCACTGAGTTTCAAATTTAAATAGTAGTACTACGAAATTGCGTGTCGTATTTGACGCTTCAACCAACACTGAAACAGGAGTAAGTCGAATTACACGTAATACAGGATGATTATATATATATATATATAGGGAAAGGATTTCAATTTAAATAAATATTTTTATGTAATAATAGCATCGGAAAGTTTTCGATATATGTATACGTTTCATTTAATTTCAAGTAATCTGATGCTAATTTTATTTTAAATATTTTTAAATATTTTAGAATAATTAAATATTTTTAAATATTTTAGAATAATTAAATTTTTTTACAAATAAATACATAAATTATGTAATATTGTAGAATTTCCGTGTATATTTTAATTATTTTACAAATAAATATACGTATTCTGTATTATTGAAGAATTTCCATTTTTATTTTAGTATTTTACGATACGATTAGGTCTCTGTTATGTACACTATTGACATCAAAAAAAATATTTTTTAAAGCGCCAAGTCGTATACAAACATTTAAAGATATGTACCCGGATTTAACTCTACCTCCCGAGCCTATTATAACTCGATGGGGTACGTGGTTATCAGCTGTATTATATTATTCAAATAACTTTGAAAAGATTAGAAACGTTGTCTTAAATTTAGATCCCGAAGCTGCAATAGCAATAAAAAAAACTGTTGAGCTCATAGACAGTAAAAATTTGCAAAACAATTTAGCATTTATTTCGACTAATTTTGGATTTTTGGTTGATACTATTTCAAAATTAGAAACTTCTAAAATGCCACTAACGGAGAGCTTAGAAATAGTTGATAATGCCATAAAGCAATTAGAACGGGTTCCTTGAGAAATTGGAGTTTTGACCGATTCAAAATTAAAAAATGTATTGGAAAAAAACACAGGTTTTAATACTGTAATGTCAATAAGAGACATACTATTAAACAAAACTCCAAATAACAAATATTCAGAAATTGAATACACTCCAAAAGAAATAATGTGTATGAAATATGCACCTGTCACGTCCGTTGATGTGGAGAGGTCATTCAGCCGTTACAAAGCAATGTTAAGACCGAACCGCCGCCACTTTACATTTGAAAATTTCAAGCTATATGTTGTTCCTAACTGTTTCCCACATGAAGACTATGATGAATCAGAATAGATTTTTAATTTTTTTATATTTTTAATTAATTATTTAATAATTCTATGTTATTTTCAATTTAAATATTTAAATATTATGCATTTATAAATAAATATTTATTAAGTAATAAACAAATATATATTTAAATATTTTTAATTTTATACTAAATTAAAATCCGTTCCCTATATATATATATTAGCTAGATTTCGAATACATAATTTCTTAATCTCAGCAGATATAAAAAAAATGTACCGTCAAATTAATGTGGCAGAAAAACATCGCTATTTTCAACGCATTTAATGCCGAGACGATAGTAACTCTTCAATTAAAATATTTAAATTAAATACGATCACGTACAGTACAGTACCAGCATCTTATTTAGCAACTGTATGTTTACGGAAACTAGGTGAAGCCTGAATAAATCCAATGAAGTACTTATTGCGTCGCGTCCTAGATAATGCTAATTTTACCTATGAGGAGTTATTAACTATACTTACACATGCCGCGTTTTATTTAAATAGCCGTCCTTTGCCTCCAAACGACCTAATCCCTAGTCACTTCCTTATAGGAGACTCTCTGACAGCCATACCCGAAACCCACAAGACATCTTTGCCAATCAACCGTCTGAACAGATGGTGCTGGGTATCTCAATACTCTCAAAACATGTGGAAACGATGGGGTAGAGAATACTTATCACAACTACAAGAAAGAGCCAATTGGGAGAGTGAAACGAGTCAGCGAGTGAAGGTTGGTTTTGTAGTTTTACTAAAAGACGACCATCTCCCGTCTTTACGATCGCGCATGGGACGCGTGGGAAGGATGGTGTGATCCGAGTCGCGGAAGTCCAAACGGTCGCGGCATGATTTCTCGAGCTGTACGAAAGATGTGTCCATTACCTTTGGATTATAGGTCAACCGAAAAAAGGTCGATTATTAAGTTCCTTTCGTCTTTTGATTTTGTAAAATCATTATAATGTCATGTTTTCTTATTTATATATATACTAGCTGATCCCGCGCACTTCGTTTCCCGTTAAATGTAGGTACCAACTCTATATGACTCAAACATTGTTCAATGCGTTATTTAATATTCAGTGTATGATGTTCTAGATTTATCTTAACTTTTCTGTTGCCCGGAATAAAAATTCTGTTTCGCAGCAGTATATTATCAGGTAGGCAATTTACCTGTGGTAGATCGCGGACCCCGTGCTGTTTGTACATAAGTGTATGATTCAACTCAAAAAGTACCAAAGTTATACCAAGTTTGACGTTTTGACTTAATTCCACAATTCAACCTACCTATAAATCCAACCTGACCTCACCGTACTAAAATCCGATGAATAAAAAAAACCAAATTTAACCCTTTTTAAACTAGCGTATCTTCTTCCCATAGATCTACACACCATCATTCATTTATATATAAGATATATTGACAAAAAATAATAATACAAATCAACAAACATGCCTTATTAACCAATAGCAACCAATATAATATAATACACCATAGAGTAAATAAAGACAACGGTATCGAGTTCAAATCCCAGACATCAATAAATAGTTATTGCAGTTTTTCTAATTATTCAGTTGACTTTTTAAAAATTTTCCTTCGTAAAAACCTTCACCTATTAATTACGAACATCTTAAAAAAAAATTGAGACAAATCGGATCGATTGAAAAAGTTCATAGATAATGTAGTAAGCCAGCTACTACGGAGTAATACCAATTTCATAAGTACATAGTTATTATTATAATATACGATGAATTGGGATTCAGAATTAGGCGTAGTAACATTTGACAGTAACAATAAAATCAGATTCCACAGGTGCATAAATATTATAATAAACGGTAGACCGGCATAGTCGGGTATTAAGAAGGAAATGGGTCCTTCACACCTATGGAGATCAGGCTCACTGAATAACTCATGACGAGAGGGCTGAAATAGTCATTCGTCATTTTTGACAGAAATACTGGACGCATACGATGAATTTAAAATATTAAAGAGTAAAATGACTAAACACAAGTTAGTAATACATTCAATCGGATAAATATTCAATCGTCAATGCGTGGGCTAGAATGATGACTATACGAGTGACATCCGTGAGAACGGAGATATCGCATATGTAGGCAAGGGGTACGGGGAACCTCATATATAAGGGAGCCCGAATCGGCCTGTATTCAGACGTGTACTACCACCCATTAGTGCAAGCACCTTCACGTCACTCTGTTGAATATTATTTGGACTTAGAAAAATTATCGAACATTATAATAAAAATTCACTTTACATTGCATCTGTCTTATCATTCATTGTCTACCACGACTACGACATCAAATAAAGTGTCTGCGACCTGATCTAATAATAACTTGGTTGCCACTTATCTACTGTCAGTACTACGATAGTAGGTACCAAGCACCCAGGCTTATTACACTGGCGCAGTCGAGTACAGGAGGTTCAGGAAGCTAGAGACGAGGCGAGCAGTCAAAGCGGCGGAGTTAAATTTCCAAAGGCGAGTCGAGCAGTCAAGGCAGCGGATTCAACTTCAAAGGCGAGTCCAGCAGTCAAGGCGGCTACATTCAACTTCGGAGATCCAGTCCCGACGCAGCGGCTACACCACGTCAGCAGCTCCACGGAGGTACAGTCGAGGTCTGATCAACCAAGGCGACTCCGGATTCAACGGACAAATTCTAGACGGGCCAGCAGACAATCAGGGAAAGATGAACACAGCAGTGGCAACAGCGTTATTGTGAGTATATTAATTAAGTGAAAATAGATAATTAAATTAGAATTGTATAGCTTGAAGTGCACGTCTCACGTTGATTCATATAAATCAGCGTTTATTTTATACTTGGTGGTGGTGTAAAATATTAGGGAAAAATATTCGAATAAAAATAAATAAAGAAAAAAAAATAGGAAACAAGCTTGGGAAGAACTATATACGTATTTTTGATAGACAGCTGTAGACTGATCTAGGATTTTTATGGTAAATAGACGGCAAGGACCGATCTGAGATTTTTTTTGTGATAGGCAGCAGGGACTGACCTAAGTATTTTATGGTATTTTATAATAGACAGCAAGGACTGATCTAAGAATTTTATGGTATTTTTTTTGTGATAGGCAGCAGGGACTGACCTAAGTAATTTATGATATTTTGTGATAGACAGCGGAGACTGATCTAATAAATTAAAAGTAGACGGCGATAGGCTGATCTAAGGAATTGATGCACGCGCGTAGCATTTTTAATTATATATGGGAATAATTGATTAAAGGAAAATATTGAATTTTTGAATTGAAATATAGAATGATAGATAATTGTTGAAAGAAATTAAATGATATATATTGAAGAAAATAGATTTGAATTGAAAGGCAGTAGATGACCTTATTAAAGTAATTGACGTCAAATTTTGAAAAGTTTTGGGGAAAAAGAATTAATTATAAGGCTAGCCTAGGATAAGATTTAGTATAATATTACTAAGAGTAAGTTAATAGAATAATAATTAAAAAGTTATTTTTTCTGGTTAAGTTAAATTGATAAAGCGCGTAAAATAGGAAATTAAATCATATAGAAAAATATATTAGTAATAATAAAAATAAGGGATAGGAAGTCGAATATTATTAGATGGATTTACGGAGTAGCTAACCGAGAATTGTTTTATTTTATAATATTCGAGCGTAGTACGAGCGCGTACGTAAAAAACATCGCGGAGCAGGGCGAGGGAAACGGGTGAGGAACACCGTATCGAAATTTAACACGCGTAGCATAGGCGGTCGAACGTTTTACGTGTTATTAGATAGGTACTCATCCATTTCAACGTACGACGCGCGTTTACGTAATTTCTTTTTATTATTTGTGCATGATAGTTATTTTATAAGTAGTAATGTTTAAGTATTATTAATTTTGGTGACGGTAGTTACGTATTAATAATTTATAATTAATAATAGTATATATATGTAGAGTAAACACTGTTGGTAATTACTTACGCGGATAGGGAATTAATAATTTAGTAAATATAATTTATTGAAAATTATATATATGTAATGTCTAGATAAATATATGTCAGAATCCGATAGTTCAGATATTGACACTAGTTCTACGGACAGTTCAATAAAAGTTAAAAAATATAAGACTAGGAAAGAAATAAAAGCGGAAATTTTAAAAGACGCTGTAAAGAAAGAATTTTTAGAACGAACTAGGAAACAAGTAATTAAAGCTGAAAAAATTGTTAAGGAAAAATTAGTAAGAACACATAGTTTAACAGAACAAATAGGTACCACGCCACGAAAACAAACCGTAGGACGTTTAGGTACTAGGTCAGATTCAAGCGTAGTTCACGTGCAGTTAGAATCAGTAGTTAAGAAAAAAATGAGTAAAATGGATTTAGATAAAGCAATTGCTATGATACCTATTTGCACGGGCAAAAAGGACGTAGCCGAATTTATAAATATTTGTGAAATCGCAATTAAGGAGACAACGGATGCAGAAATACCGATATTATTGAAAATAATTACTTCTAAGTTAACAGGAAATGCGTTAGAAGTAACAAAATATCGAAATTTAGAAACATGGGGAGCAATAAAAACAATATTAGAGGGGGCATTCGAACAAAAAGTATCGGAGAGGGCCCTATCAATAGCTTTAAACACGGCACGTATGGCCGAGGGAGAAAGTGTAGCAAAATTCGCTAGTAGAATCGAAGAGTTATATTATAAACTCTGCGCGGCAAGTACGGTAGGTTTAACTCAGGCCGAGGCAGATATAGTGAAAAAACAAACAAAGAAACAGGCAATGATCATATTTATGACGGGGCTACCTCATCACCTATATACAGTACTAAAAAGTCGAAATCCCACTACATTGGAACAATGTTTCAAAACGGCGATCGATGAGATGCTTGAATATGAATCAAAAGTAGAAATGGACAAATTACAGAGACAGATTGGTAATGGAAAACAGGCAGGCGTCAATAACGAGGAAAAACGACAAAACGATGGTAACAACGCAGTTAATCGTGGAGGAAACGGTAATTCAAATCAAAATCACAGAAATAATAATTTCAACGGATATAACAACAGATATGTTAACCACAACAACCGCGGTAATTATGGAAATAATAATCGGGGCGGATATGATTCACGCACGGTTAATCGCGGCGGTTATCGAGGCGGAAACAGCTATGGACGAAATTTCAATGTCAATAATGTACAACAAAATAATAATAATCGAAATAACGCAGGGTGCTACACGTGCGGCAAGTCTAATCACTTGGCGCGGGATTGTTGGAGCAATCGACCAAATGCACCACAAAATACGAACAACAACAATCGTGTGGGCGGCACGCGTAATACGAACAACAACAATAATGTTCGTAGGGACAATAACAATACTCAGGGTGTCCATTGTAGTTACTGTAATAAGATAGGTCATGAAATTTCAAACTGCTATACAAAACAGAGAAATGAAAGAAACACGGCGGGAAACGCCAACGGACCATCACCAGTGGGAGTCAGATTGGTCCAAGAAATAATTCAAGACCCACACACAGGATTTTCCACATCACAGCAGAATTAATAGACAATCACATTACTTTAAAATCACCTAGTTTTAATAAGGATCAAATTAAATTATTAGTCGATACTGGGGCGGATCTAAATATAATTAAAATTAATGCATTAAAAGGAAACACTGAAATTAACGAAAACGAAAAAATTTATTTGAAAGGCATTAATGAAAAAATAGTTTCTACAATAGGAAAAGCAGAAATAGAATTAATAATTAATAATGAAGCATTCGAAACCCAATTTTATGTTGTAAATAATATTTTTCCGATTTTGGCAGA